GCTCCTGTACAGCTGGTTCATGCTCCGTCTCAGAACTCGAAATAGTCTGAAGACCTGTTCAGCGCCTCGAGCTGCTCGAAGACGGTTCCTGCGCCGAGAGAATCGACGCCGTCGTCTGCTCTGCGGAAAACGGAAGCGCCAGGTGCGCTGGCATCGCCCACGATCCAGCATCTGGGGAGAAGTCCTCGCAGACCGCCCTTGGCGCTGCTGCTGTTCCCTCCGCGGCTTCTGTGGTGTCGTCCGCCTGTTCACCTTGAGAACCATGTAGTATGCGGTGCTGAAGTCTTTGTTGATCACAATAGTCCGCGTGCCACTGCTGCAAGGGTGCCACATCCTCGTCCGCAAGGATTGGCAGAAGGTAGTGCAGCGTTTGGTGATACCATAAGCTTGCGCCCAGGTCGTAGAAGATACGGGCCAGGGCTTTGGCGAGGGGGGGATCTTCGAATGTTGCCAGCAGCCACTTGTAGACGAGCCTGCATAGAACCTGCAGTATGTGCTGTCTGGTGGGACCGTATTGGGATCCGGTGGAGAGAATCCAGCGAGCATCGTTCCTGAGAAGGTCCCTCTGCATCCTGCTGCGTAATGTCTCGAACTGCATCTGCAGAATTTCTGCAGCCTGTTGCGGGAGTCGAGAGCAGGTGATCGGTAGAACTTCCTCAGCGTACTGGGTGTGCTGGTATTCCTTGGCTGTTCTGAGCCTACTGGCGACTTTACGCCTGTCCCCTCCGGAGCTGGTGACCAGGTAGCTTTCGTAGTGATACCAGCAAAGTTCCAGCAGGATGTGTCTCCAGAATTGTAGCTGTTCAGCGGCTCTGTAGGGAAGAAGTTGCTGCTCATCTGACTTCCGACCGGCACTTGCTGCAGAATCGCTATGTTCTGATTGACCGGCATTTGCTGCAGAATCGCTACGTTCTGATTGACAGGCATTCGCTTCCGAATCGCTGCATTCTGACAATCCAGACATACTTGACATACTTGAGAAGTCTGAATGTTCCGCAGAAACAGTATGAGAGGAAGCAATGGAGCGAGGCATGGCTGTAGCAGGGCCATAAATGCTTTCCCAAAAGACTTGGGCCGAGATGCTTGCTTTAACTCATGACGATGAAGATGATGATGATCATGGTGGCGATGGTTCCTGAAACCCTAAAGCCCTACACCTATGCAGAAAGCTGCCGTTTCTGCGGCTTTGTAGGTATGGATCGCTGTCTGGCCGCAAGCTGAAGGCGATGAGGACCTCGTTGCAGCACTAGTGCCCCGTCAAGCATTGGTCTTTAGTTTCGTGAGTTCAGTGTTTGGGGTTCAGGGGCCTTCAGGGGCTACTGTAGGGTTTCGGGGTTGGGGGTTTCAGCGATTGCTCAAGGGGCTCAGGGTCTGAAGATGGACCGACTGAACAGTCATCACCCCGAAGCACCCCGAAGTGGAATATGCTTGGGTTTAGGGTTTAGGGTTTATGGTTTAGGGATGCATCCTCAGCCGTTGAAAGCCGATTTCTCTCCCGGGTCCGTGTAAGCTCCGTATTCGGATTGACATTTCGACCTTGCAAACAAGTAGGTTGGAGCCGAAGCTGGAGGCCTGGCTTTTCTGCTTAACAAACAGTTGTCCTGAAAGGAATTTATTGAGTTCATTGTGAGTAATGGTACAAGTTCCTTTTTGTATGAATCTAGTGGGCCGACGGCGAGAGAGTTTGCGCTTGGCGGAAGAAGACTGGCATAAGCCCTGAATCCCCCATCCTTGAAACCGCAGACCCTTTATTGGCGTCCTCTAAACCCTAAACCCTAAGGGCCTTTTTCGCTAAGAACCCTGAGGGCCCCATACTATACTTTAAACCCATTGGAGCCCCAAGGAGCAGCTGGTTCAAAGCACCGCCCGCACTTCGGACTTGGCGGCTCCTGCGTTGACCCTTCTCGTGACTGAGCGAACCGGAAGGGGCTTAAAGGGCTTTCGGGGGTGCGGGGGTTTTGGGGCTCCTGGACAAGTACGGTGCGGCACAAATAACACATTCAGCCGCATTGCTGTGCGGTCAAAGGTCTTGGGAGCAAAATCTACGATGTTGAATTGCTTATGTTTAGTTGTCTTGATCTTTTATACTGCCAAAATACCCACTGTTGCGGACCATAAGGGCGGTCCGGTCGCAACACCCAAAGCCAAGCCGACGTAAGGATCCCCCGAAACCCGAAACCTAAAACCAAGAGAGCTGAAGCCTCCAAAGCTACGGGTTACCGTGTGGACCCTAGCAGGGCCCGCAAAAAGCAAGACAACTAAAAGCAGGCAAACCGCCATGCCAAGGTTGCAAAGCAATGTGGGGTAGGTGTGATGTTTGCGCCACAACCTTAAAAGTCAGAGATCCCCCGAACAGAAATTCGGTCTTTCGGAGAGCCTTAGAGAGATCCCAGGGTACAGGCTTGGCACCATGAGCTTTCAAGCCCTGAACCCTTATGGATTTCTCTCTGGTGGTGAGAACGGATGGGTTTCTGGTCTAGGGTTCAAGAGCTTGTAGGCTTTAGGGTTGTGGACTGTTCGGGGATTCAGGGTTTATAAGAGCTTGGTAGAGAGTTTAGAGTTTAGGGGCTTAGAGGGATTCGGCGTTTTCGTGTTGGGGGGATTGGTTCATGGGCCCCGAGAGAGGTGAAGAGCTTTGCCAATGCGACGTCGTGGGCCCCGCAGTGTGTGAATGCTGCGCTGGGCGCCGTGGAGGCAGATCTCGTGGGGAACGCGGTTGTCCAGGGTGTGGCAGTATGCTTTCGGGGTGTAAACTGTCGGGTTGTCGATGCGGCCAGGATTAGCCATTAAAATCCTCAAAAGCCTTGCTTCAACCCCGAAACCATGAAGCTTTTAGGATGAAGACACTGAACCCCAAGATGCCAACGAACAAGCAACCCAAGGCACAACTCTACCGGCCCAAGGCTTATGAATGGCTCGTCATAGCATCTCCTTGTTTGTTTCTATGGAACTGCACAACCAAACGCCCCAATACCCTAGTCTAAGTGTTGGGGAGCCTCCCATACCCTCAAACCCCTGAACCTCCGGGTCGACCTCAAAAATCCAAGCCATGTAGAAGCAAAGCCCCCAAAACCCCCCAAACCCCCTAAACCCTAAACCCTAAACCCAAAAAAAAAAATCAACTGAGCACCTAGCGCGGCCCTGAAATGGCAGAGCACGGAGGCCTCCGTCGCCCCGGCCTCTTCACCATGGCCTCTCACTGTGGCCATGGCGACTGCATATGGCTACGTGATCCAGTGCGTGCCTCCTCTTCAACTTGCTGGGGTTTTGGTTGCAAAAGCGAGCCTCAGGAGGCTTGCGTTGATGCTTTCCAGCTTCTTCTGTAGGGATTGCTGCTTGGGGATGGTGGTTGTTCTATAAAGCCTTCTTTAAGCCCCAAGACTAGTGCCTGCGCCTCACCTCCATCTCTAGGTGTGAGCGCTCCGAAAGCTCTAAGCCTGTAGGCCCGCTCTTAGGGAGCTTCTGGACGTGAATTTTCTGAAGGGTAGCTTGTCTTCTACAACTCCCAGATACCTTGCCGGAAAGCACGGTGACGATTGACTCACATCTCATCTTCCAGTTGTTACCCTGTGCCCTTGATCCTCTGCCCTCGACGGTTCCGCCGCTGTAGTGGCCTTTGAAACTTAGTATACGTAGAGGTCTTCATGGGGCTTAGAAGGAACCTCCTGAGGAATGGTATTGAAAATCATGCGAGCGGCTGACGGCCAGGCTGCGACCATCGCCAGCTGCCAGCCACTTCCCTGTGCTCTCTCTCTGGTGCCCTGACACCCTTGGAGGGTTTGGGGCTGTCCCTCTAGGCTTGAGGTGTTGTTAATGTGGTTTTATTGCATGTCAAGTCCCTGGAAACGCGAGCTGTCAAAAGGTCGCAGACGCAGACGCTGAAAAGCCGAGAGTTTCAAGCTGTAGTGCTTCGGCATCCGGATGAAACCGTCGCTCACAAGCGCTCTGATTCACGATGTTTGGGAGTTCAGGGTTTAGGGCTACCCGCTTCGTAGTTGGAGGTTGTCGTTGTAACGGTGCTAGAAGCAGCCCGCGGAGTGCAATAATTACTTCTGTACAGCACCCGTGCGACACCATGTGCCGCCAGACATTCTCGTTTGCAAAGGCCAAGTTCTCTAAGCTAGCAGCTAAGGTCCTGTTGTGGGATCTCCGTTCTAAGAGTGATTTCTTCCTCCGTCGATCCCGTTGTTTTTGCACTGCCGCTGGCACCCTGAAGAAGCGGTACCGATCATTAGCAGTTATCCTTGTCATAGTGATGACCATACTTGCCATTAATATTATCAGGTTATCAGTATTGATGTTTACGAAAATCGGGTGATGTCCCGGTCGCTCTTTACGGGCTGCAGCCGACTCCTAACCCCGAAACCCCTAAACCCTAACCCCTAAACCCTAAACTCTCCCTTAAACCCTAACCCCTAAACCCCTAAACCCCTAGCCCCTAAACCTTAAACCCTCCCCTAAACCCTAAACCCCTAAACCCCAAACCCTAAACCCCTAAACCCCTCACCCCTGAACCCTAAACCCTCAACCCTGTACCCTAAAGAAGCCAGGTGGGCGCCCTCGCTTCCTGGAGCGACCACACCGAGCTCGGCTGCGGGCTCCGCGCGGCGCTGCTGGGGAACGAAGCGGCGGTGCGGAGTCTGGCCGGGCTCCTACGGGAGGGAGCGGGGAGTCTCGAAAACGCCGAATTCGAGTAGATTAAAGTCTATAGTAGCATATGAGAGTATATCAAAATTATATTAAAGTATATTATAGTATATCGTAGTATATTATAGCAGTGCTGAACCCCAAAGCCACAAGGGGCTCCCGGAAGGTGGGTTGCGGACTTTGGGGTTTGGGGGGTTGAGTTTTTTTGTTGGGTCTGGGGTTTGTATTAAATTGCAAGAGTTTAGAATTTGCGTCCTTAGGCATGAAGAGCTTCAGGGCTTAGGCTTGAGCCTTGGATGTGTGCGAAATCTTCAGAGCACGTTTGCATCATGCGCTTTTGGACGTGTTGTTCATGGATATCGTGGCTCGGAAAGTCTTGGCGACAATGCAACTTTCTGAGGCAGTGAGAGTCGTCTTTCATCGTTTTGGATACCTGAAACCGTACACGCGGACAAACTTTGACTATATACCGATCCAGACATCCCAAACGTGTGCCAACGTCTTTGCAGAGCTCGCTCGAGCTTTAATCTGCAGGCCAACACTATAATGAACTGTAAGATGATATAATATACGATCATATGATCTTCCATGCTAGCATATAGCAAAAAATAGCATGGACTATGATATGCACGGCTCCAAGAGCTCCACAAACCCTCCCAGTCCAGAGCTTTGCTTTCTCTTTCCCGGTACCCTACAGACGGTACAGCCCACTCAGATCGTTAGTTTGCTCTGCCTCGTATCGCTGCGACTCCCAACTGTTAAAGACTGAAACTGAGCTCGTTTGAAGCCTTGAAAAGCCTTATACCAGAAGCCCTGATCTTGGCAACGAACCCGGGAACTCTTCGCCCCTAGAATCCTTAAACCCCCAAAACCCTAAACCCCTTTCCCCTGAACTATACCCCAAACCCCTGACCCTAAGCCCCTATACCCTAACCCCCCTAACCCTGAAACCCAAGCCTTCATTCAGGCGACTGCCACTAGCCAAAGCCGAGGTCGCTCAGAGTGAGGACAGCCGCACCACTCAGCGCATCGTTCGAGCGCTGGGCTTGTGACTCGCACTCTGCCAACACAAGGAGGTAAGTATAGGGTGTAAGGGTTGAGGGCTTAGGGATAAGTATAGAAGCCTGAATAATTACCGATACTCTTCCTCAAGGTACCTCTGCATACATCTACTATCATATACCCCCCAAGCCCTCTTCTAAGTACCAAAGCCTCCACATCCACTGTCCTTTGCAACACCAGCAACACAAACGCACACCTAAAACTGGTTTTCAGAGGTCCTTATAATGAAAGAGCAACGCACTAGACAAGGCTTGACGGTTCTTCGTTTCCGACGGTTTGTTCCAAGGGCTGTCAAGAAGCTTCTCCAGTCGGTTCTTTCTCGTAGCAGCAAATGGTCTCCAATGTTACTTTTTTGGTCTGCCAGTTTGCATTGAGGATCCGATAATGATAGGCAACTTGATGAGGACTCTAGGAAAACGTTAAAGTCTTGTTTTCTTGGCAAGGGATGTGGAATCTCAGGTGATTGGAATCCTTCCACAGAGGCAGGACATCAGATTCGGCACGCTTGAAAGGACATGGACGACGGGAGGTTCATGGCCGTTTATTCCTTAATCCTGGGTGCAACTGTGCTAGAAGAACCGACGAGATCACCTGGTCTGGTGGACGAAGCCCTGTTGCGGACGACATCGTGTCTCCGACTTCTTGGAGCACCGCAGAGACGAGAATGCGCGTGGGGGCGCGGAGACCTCGAGGTGGTTGACGGAGGTTTTTCCGTTTCACACGATTGGCAAAATCAAGGGAGACCCCTTGCCTCGCTTCCGAGGCGTGAAATGTGCGATTTTGCTGTCAGGGTTAATGCTCTGTGAAAGCCCGGCATGTGGGCAGACATGATTGCACAAGTATCGGACTGCGTTTAAGCACCACAAGCGGCCTCTCTCATGAATAATGAGGTACCTGTCCTGAAGCGCGACCCCATTCCAGGCGACTCTTACCTTCAACACACAACATGGGCCACATCATTATAGTGGCATGAGCTGTCACGCTTGCACACTCTGCAATCGGATGCGGTCGTCGCGAAAGGCCCTGTAGAATCGATGGCATGTGTGGCCGAAGGTTCCTGCTCAATCTCGTTTCGATTCATGCAAACATGGTGTCCAGGGAGTGTCTGATGGCTACGAGGACCGTCGCTCATGCCATCCGCCTGCTTGCTTCTAGCTCCACCTTCCCGAGCCACGTCTGGCAGCCCACTGCCTCAAGCTTCCGGGAGCCCTTCTGCTCTTCGGAGATCGGCGCAAGTACTTCCACGCTTCAGTGCAACAAGGCTATGAGGGCCTGCTCCAAGGGAAGGGACTGGAAGCTGGCCTTGTGCCTGGGCCGTGAAAATATAGTTTGTATGCATGCTACATGTAGAGTATCTATGGTATCTATTTATCCGTCTATCAACCAAATCTGTTTGTCCGTGTATATATATATATATGTATATATACATACATATACATATACGTGGATAGATAGGTAGATAGGTAGGTAGGTTAGATAGATAGATAGATAGATAGATAGGTAGATAGGTAGGTAGGTTAGATAGATAGATAGATAGATAGATAGATAGGTAGATAGATAGATAGATAGATAGGTGTCAGTTTTTGTGAGTCCAGTATTGGGAGATCAGTTCTGTTTTCTGATAGTTTGGCGGTTGCAGTCAGCAAGTAATTCCCAGGTATGTTTTTCACCGTATGCCGATGAGAGCCATAGCACGTGATGTTGTGAGCTTTAATGGTGCCATCCATGCGGCGAACGTGGGAGCAAACTGGTGGCTAGCGACTGAGCTGCTGGGAGCGATGCCAGAAGACGCCGTGGTGCCGGATGCCATCAGTTACAACACCACCCTGAGTTCTTTCCAACGAAACCTGAATTGGGACCGGGCTTTGAAGTTCCTGGCTGAGATGCAAGACCAAGCCATACTGCCGTCTTTGGTAGCTCTCAACACGACCATCAGCGTCGCGGAGAAAAGTGGACAGTGGCAAGTGGCCCTCGTTGTCTTTTCCGACATAGCGACTGCAAATCTTCGTCCTGACGTGGTGAGCTACAATGCGGCCCTCAGCGCCTGCGCGAGAAGTAGCCACTGGAAGGTGGCCATACATCTGCAGGACCTTATGCGTGAAGATGTGGTGAGGCCTGACATAATCACCTGCAACACTGCAATGAGATGCTGCAGCTTGGGGCACCAGTGGAAAGAGTCTCTGACCCTCATGGCCAAATTGCCCCAGCATCGGATCGACCCCACCAGGATCACTTACAACACAGCCCTCACTGCATTTGCTGCAGGAGCACAGTGGAAGCTTGCAGTGGAGTTCTTCCAGTCTATGATAGAGATGTCAGTGGCTTTGGAAGACAGCTATAACGCTGCAATCGGTGCCTGCAAGGCAGGCAAAGCCTGGATGCCTGCATTGCAGCTTCTGTTCGAGATGCCCCGAAGGGCATTAAAACCAGACAGGATAAGTTTTAACACGACCATCAGTGCGTGTGAGCAGGGCAGCTGCTGGCCACTAGCCCTCAGCACCTTGGAAGCCATGGTTCCTGCGAGGTTACGACAGGACATCATCAGCTACAATGCCACCATCAGTGCTTGCGCAGATGGAGCTCAGTGGCAGCTTGCCTGCAGCCTCTTAGCTTTGCTTCTTCAAAAGGATGTTGCTCCAGACGCTGTGACGTTCAACAGCATGATCAGTGCTTGTGAAGGGGCTTCGCAGTGGCAGCAGGCCTTGCAGCTTCTTCTCTCTGAGACACGGAAGTTCCGAGTCTCCCCGGACGTCATTGGTCATAATGCCACCATTAGCGCCTGCGAGAAGGCTGGCCGGTGGCTACTGGCTTTGGCCGTCTTTGACATGGTCGGCCAGAAGCGGCTGACACCCACAGAGTTCACTTTCAGCTCGGCAATCACTGCATGTGAGAAAGCAGCTCAATGGAAATGGGCAGTTTTCTACCTGAGAAGAATGGCTGCAGAACTTCCCCCTAATCTCATCAGCTACAATGCTGCAGTCAGCGCCTGTGAGAAATCCAGCAGGCACGGCGTGCTGTCACAAATCGGGGTTCTGGGATTTATGTCTAGGTTCTTCAGGCTTCAGGGCCTTGCGCCGCGCTGTACCTAGTCCGACAAGAGCACGGGTTCGTTTTCCTGTAGAACGGGGGGAGTAGCCTGAAGCTTCAATGTAAAGCTTAAAGGGGGAGTTTTGGAGAGCGTAGTGGGAACCCCCATGAAAGAATGTCAAAATATTAGGATCCTACTCAACCAGCCCGCGCCGCCCCCCCCCCCCTGTTTCAGGTGGCAGGCGGCTCTGCGGGTTTTCCAGGCACTGACAGAAGTTGCTGGGCACTGTTCTCTTGTATGTGTTTGTTTTTGTATTGGGTGATGCGCAGGGCTCTCAGAGGCTGTGGCACTTATAGGGGTTCGTGCTCACAGGGCGACTAGAGCATTTTTCATTCAGGCTTGAGGGTTGCTTTGGGGCGTCTAAGGGCCTTGGAGCAGGCTTTGGGCTTGGCTCGGGACTCCAAGTTTGCCACGTGTCGTAATGCCGGGAGGATTTGACTAAGCCTTCCCCAACAACCTGTAAGGAACGATAGGCGACCCCGATGGCATGTTTTGCTAACGGGCCTGAAGAGCTCGGCGGTGTGAGATGTGGGCTTGCTCAGTTCAGCTACAATCCTGCCCGAGCCTGAAGACGAAGCACTGTCCCACTTGCTGCGCCCTGAACCCTGGATCCCAATCCAACACTTCCCAAATCCTATGGCCTATCCATAAGTCAGCATCAAGAGCGTTGGCCACGCCCTGCCCAGGCCGAACTGCGACCAGATCTCATCAGCTTTGCTGTGCTCTGGATGGATTGGATACGACAGTGGGTCTAGTTTGAGGGTCTTCAGGTTGGAGATGTGTGATCAAAGCAGACAGTTTGTGATGACGAGGTTTGTGCGCAAAAGACGCGTCGGACTAGCCAGCAACACTATCCCCTTGTACCAGTCCCTCAAGCCTCCAGATGAAGGCGCTCTGCAAAAATTTAGGGTACAGGCCCCAGGTCTGCGCAGAGTTGACCCCTGAGGCGATGATGAGCACTTTTGAGAAGACTCTGGGCGGGTTCGAGGTTTGCGGGCTGTAGGGCTTTCTCAGGTGGCGGTTTAGGGTCTTTGAGCGTCTGGGGTTTCCGGGGTTTTAGGGTTCTGAAAGAGTTTTAGGGTTTTAGCTTTAGGATCCCGGGTTTGGCCCTCGATATACCTAGTGACGCAGTCTGTTCCTAAGAAGCACATCCCTTTGGTTTTTCAATGGCGTCCAGCCCAGGAGTGCCCAGTGGCAAAGGGCGCTGTCTCTGCTCGAGCAGTGCAAGGACACGAAGCTCCTCTGAGATCTTCCGTTGTCCTAAACACCCACTCGGCGCCCACACAGCTTCGATCTGGCCACTGGTGCACATCTGCTTGAACATCAGGAAAAGGGTTTGTAAACGCAGCCCCTACATCCGAGTCCACAACGTGTCAGATGATAGCTTTAGATATGTCTTCGTGCCTTTGCTGGACTATAGCCCAAGGGGTGTCATTTTGGAGAAAAAACTTCGTATTCTTATGGCAGCACAGCTCCACAGAAAGACCGATTTACACAGTTGACAGTGAGCCCACAAACACCAGATCACTAGATCGATGAATTTATTCACATACCTTGGATTCAGAAAATTCCCGAGTTTCCATAATTGAGTTTGCCAGTGTTTTTTCAATTGATTTTCTCAATGTTTCAAAGCATTTTTGCATTTAGGGTTTTGGTCTGGGCTGGGTTTCGCGTTTTTGGTTTTCTTCCAATCTTAGCTTTTGTTTGCTTTAAGGATCAATTCTTGGATTTGGATTTGCTTGAAGCTTTCCTTGCTTTCTTTAGTTTCGGGATTTGTTTTCAAGTGTTGGGATTTCTTTCGTTGGGATTTTGGTTTGGGTTTATTTTTTGTGAGTTTTATATTTTCAAATTTTCATATTTGGCGTTGGCCGAACAGCAAAAAGCCTTCGACGTTGACATGCGCTTGTAGTTCATTTCAGGGCTTTTGGATTAGGCTCCAAGGGGCTTGGGAGGCGTCATAAGCAGCTGAGTTGCTCTGGCTTCGGGTGCTGCGCAAGGAGGTCCCTGCGACAGTAAGCACTTTCATGTCAAACAGAGCCTAATGTGGACATCTGAAAAATCAATGCGAGTACGTGCGACGTAACCAACACCTCCCTCCTCCAGAAGTCGGATGTGCAGCAGAACGCCGATGATTTGATCATCAGTTGTGCAAAGAGTCAAAAAGGCCTTCAGGAGTTTGGTTCTGTTCTTGGACGTTTTACTTCGGGATGTTGCCGCTTTGGAGGCTTCAGGGTTCAGGGCTTTCTAGCAAGCAAAAAAAGATCTAAGCTTAAACCTTGGCCGTCAAGAGCATCGAAATCCCCGCAGGAGATGGAGCTCCAAAGTCCTTCGGGTCCCTGTGCCCATACAGTTTGTACGTGGACCTCAATGCATTGCTTTCAGAAACCCTACAAGGCTTAGGCATGTACTGTAAAGGTACCGGGAACCTTGGAGCTCGAACGCAGGCATGGCTAAGTTGCCAGGCTGCATCGGGTCCCTTGACTTTGAGTTGTCGCCAAGTCCAATGTAGACCCCTGACATGATGAGCCCTTTCTGTTTTAAGTAGAGCAGAATTCATATAACTATCCCTCTTCAGAAGCTTCGTGAAGCAAAGTTGAAGGATGTTGAGAAAGTCTACATAAACCTCCAACTCCATAGGCAACCAGTCTTCAGTCTTGTTCTTGAGGAACCCCACGCGCTCCAAACCCCGAAGCGCCATACCTTCGCCTGTGAGAACCTACCTTTACCAATGTCTTGTTCTCACGGCTGGAGCCAAAGTCGTAGCCGCGGGCTTGTCTTTGCAACTTGGCCAGAAATTTCCTGGCAAGTGTTCTGAAACAACAAACTGCAAACTTCAGACGACACGGGGCGCTCTCGGGACCTACCAAACTACTGGCAGCCCAACATGCCGCAAAAGCTTCCAAGCACTTCAAAATAGCACACTATGGGCAAACTCAGCACCCTACAGACCCTACCGACAAACGCAGGTGAGCCGAGAGCTGCCGGATATCCGGGTCTGAGACATGAAGATTCCACAGAAAACTGTAAGTCCGAACACTGCTAAAAATAAGATCATGGGTTTTTGTGTTCCTGGTTCTTTCGTCGCCTTCTTTTCTGCCGAAATCCGCTAGGGCTGAAAAAGACCAGTCCGAGTTGGTAACCCATAGTGAATCATGCTGGGAAACTTGGACAGGACGACACCAAAAACAGAGACAGTTTTTGGAAACTGCCCGGGGCAGGTGTCACACCCGACGCTGCCACCCCTGTGGAGCGCGGCTCGTGGAACGCGCGTTCTCACAAGGCTTTGGGGCATGGGGCAGTGGATTCAAGTCTTGTTGCGGTCGGCATTCGAACTAGGACTTGGGATAATTTTCGCTTTCGGACGTCGCGCATCAACATTAGGAAGCAATATAAGCGCCTTAATAGTACCATCCGGCTTTGGGGCGTTTACATTGCCTGGTTTCAGACTTCGGAAGTTTGGGCTTTTAGGGCTTCGTCCGTAGGTTGAAGCTGCCAGGCTTCGTGAAGCAGGGCAGGGCGTCAGGTTTAGGGAACCGGGTCTGGGCGTTTTTCGTACATTTAGGGTCCCGGGAACCTGTTAGGCTGCTAGGCTGCTAGGGGCTGTTTAATCCGAAACAAAGACGCCCGATAAAGCTGTGCAAGTCCTTTTGAAAGGAACTGGGAATGATAATGGTTTTTTCGGACTTGGGACCTTAGCCTGGGTTTTCGGGTCGGCTGGTGCAACAAATGTGTTCGGGAAGTGTTGCTACTGTTTGGTGTATATGACTGTTGTGACTGTTGCTCTTGCTATGATTACTTGTTTGTGTTGTTGGCATGGCTGTTACAAATTCAAACATTGCAAATATGAGTGTCATGGTGGTGATGATTATCATTACTGTCAGCACCGCTACTCTTATAAATTACTATGCATGCTGTTGTTTACTTTACTTGTGGTGTCGCTGCTGCTGTTGTTGTGATTGCGGCTGTGGTTTGTGGGTGTCGTCGCCATCCTTGGCTTTAAATTGTTGTTGCTGCTGTTGTGGCTGAGACCGTTGCTGGTAGTGGTGGTGCTGGCACATGAACCTGCTGCCTTTTGGTATGTCCGCGCGATGTAGACTCCCATGCAGACGTTTCCGCACATTGCGCTTAGTGTTGTTTTTTGTGCGTGTGTGTCTGCGTGGATCTCGCTCTCTGTCTCTCTCTCTGTCTCTCTTTCTCTCTCTGTCTCTCTCCTTATGCTCACTGCTTGTGTGTTTGCCAGGACTACAGCAAGCCGCCGTCCACTGTGTACGGAAACCAGCCGCTGGAAGCTGCAGGAAGTATGCAGGAATCAAAAACACTTGTCGGAATGGCTTGCTGTAATATAGGGGCCTGAATCATTAGAATAGAGTTTTGGGGCCCATTATATTTTTTTTGACTTATGGAGCCCCCAAAACTAGTATCGGTAATTCTTTAGGCCCCTACATTCTCCAGCTTCTTTACAGCTCCTTATCACGATTACAAAACAGCTAGCTCAGACACGACCAGGAGAATGCTCCGAAGCTCCGGCCCCGAGCCTCCCATGCTGACACCCTAGCGAGACGGAAGGCGACAAAGTCCGGAAAAAAGCCCGGGGACACTTTGGAAAATTCCCTAAACCCTAAAAAACCCTAGAGACCAAGAGAAGACGCCCTTTGAGGGAGGGCACCCTCAAACAAGCCACTCGGGCTAAGATCCTTTTTGGGTCTTCCTCCAGTTTAGGATTCTGAGGTCAAGAAGCCTCAGATAGATACCAAATAGTAGTAGCAGGCCCAAAAAGCTATTCTATTCATTGAGGCATCCTATGTTTATCTTCAGCCACGAACTCCCACTGTTGAGCACAGAGGCATGCGCCCGCCGAGGGCAGGCAGCGCATGTTCAACTCGAGGCACGGCTAAGCACTAAATCCTACATCGGCCCCGGTTTGTTGCACCTTCAGACGGTGCTATACAGAGTTTTGCGAGGGTTTCTCTGGTGCTTCTACAGGGATGGTGGACTTGAGGGTTTGGGGTTAAGGACAAAATTGCTTATCTTACGGTTTAATACAACCTGGCGAAGAGGAAACAAGGTCACAAGCCAGGATCCAGCCACCTTTGAGCTCATAATCTTGTTTATTTCAGGGCCGGTCCCGTGGCACCAAACTAGGTTGTAACAGTCATATAAAACACCGCAACCCGCAGCCCTGGCCCCAAACCCTATAAACCTCATCGGATCAAGTATCCAATATTTCCGCTTCAGGGTGCTGTGGGACGTGGCCAGATTGCTTGCGAGATTGGCGCCAGGGGCTCTTCCTTGGGCTAGAAGCAATTTAGGTCCATACACCCTTTGGGTCTCAGCGCGACTAAGGCTATAGCCTGCTTTTATTCGTCATGGATTGGGGGGTTCTACACAGTGTCACTGGGGCCTTTAGGTTGAAGCCTCAATTCGGGCATGTCACTCGGTATGCCTTTTTTGGCTTAGGAAGCCCCATCGTCTAAACTAGCTCCTAAAGCCCTCATCGTGACCAGTTCGAAAAATTATGAGCAATATCCCCATGTAGTGTTCATCATGCAAGTAAACTATACTCTACCCCAAACCCCTGGTCTGATTATGATTAGTGGTGTTGGTGGTAGTAGTACCAGTCGTCGTAGTCGACGTTAGTAGTAGTAGCAGCAGTAGTAGTAAGTAGTAGTAGTAGTA